CAAATTAAAATTTTAGAAACAAACAAACAAAAAATGTATTCTATAGAAGTTTCTTGTTGGCTTTTCGGTTATTCACTATCAAAGTGTGCACCGTAATAAATATATTTCTGCTCTAAACTTATCAATAGCATTCCTGGTTTTTTTTAGATAGTGTATATTAAATAAATAATTYAATATTGATGCTATTGTTTACCCAATTTACAAGGCTAAAACAGGATATTATTACTACACTACACTGTACAGCACGACAGAAAAAAAACACCACTATTTCTCCTGCAAGCGTCGAGTGTYGCAGAGGAAGCGGCTGCGTAAGTGACTCACATTAGCGACTCAAATGTTTACAAAACGCTAAAACTAGTTCATGAGAAAGTTTGGAAGGCATGTAGACGGCGGATGAAGAGTCATTTGTGAGTCATGACAAAAATAATCACGCAAAAAATGGACGTCTCGTACATACATTCAGTGTTAMRTAAGTGATACGTAAGTGATACGTAAGGGTTGTACGTGTCCGGAAATGTTCTGCGTTTACGCTGTCGGAATATTGATATTCTACGCACAAGCTTGTTTGCATGCTCTATGCCCTTCTAAAACATTCCACCTGMATTATGCTATGAAATACAATCTGAWAATATYTGAATYAAAAGTGATGTGTCATTAATACTTTACATCGCAAAATTTGAGGGTTTTTTAATCGTTCTGCTTGRCTCACCCTTGCCACTTGCCTACKGCGRCGCGCAAAGCGGYTTTTTCTTSTTTTYTTGACTAATGTWGTATGACAGAKTAGAGTGGCTGTGATTTTGCCGCGGTGAGTTTGCTRACTTCCTTGGAAGACTTACAGATTCGGATGTGCATGCATAGTARCACGTTACAAATAGTTGTTTGGTTAGAGTCATTTTTAAAGTCATTATAATTATGATCGTCAATAATCATGATTATAATACTATTGTACACAATAAAATCACGKCATAAGATTATATATCATAAATAAATCTACAGTCATTTGCAAAAATTCTCTAACATATATCATTATATCGTGTGCATTATGGGTAATATCGTGTGATTTTCGTTTGTTTTCTCGGTAAAACACTAGATCGCAAATCCTTTCAAATACTTCGACGGTATTATGATTATTAAAGGTTAATATTCATACATATAATTACATAAAACATACAACAGCAACAAATGTTACCTTAATATCGTCMAAGGATAACTATACTCTCTTAGAAACAAGTTTGATAGCAGAGATGACATTGAAAGAATCAAAAATGATAATTTTATGAGCTTTATACAAGCTTACTTCAAAAATGTTATGCAATACACCTTCAATTCCACGCACCACCCTTTTAATACTTAAAAGTATTCTCAAGCACCCACTGATATCTTCCCTTTTCAATATCCYTTTTTAACAGTTGGGTATCTTGCGTATGGCATTTCCAATTAAAAGTTTAATTAATATCTCTGAGTTGTTACCGACTTTGAGAGCACTTGCAGAGATTGTTGCAGACAGATCTTATTTGGAATTAATTGATACAGAGTTTTTATCGCTGTAATTAATCTCGATAGAAGATCATAAAGTCCAGAAGATGTCCTAAAGATGATTTTGTCTCAAGCAGTTTGTCGTGACAAAAAGACAAATGGCGAAATCGACGTATTGTGKGGCAAAATTAACAAAGTCGGTAACAAATTTAATGAAATTTTAATTGAAGTAATGAAAATCGCTGGCCAAGCTCTTCAGTATTATTGTGTTAAGGAATAGAGTCGGGTTTCAAGAGTCTCTGTAACATTTGTGCATGAAATGTCCACTACGATCTTTAGAACTTTGACTTTCAAATTAGAACTGCACGTACTGAATCCTCATTGGAAATGTTTTTGTTGCAGAAAGTTTAGTTTTGCTATGGCCAGTGATTAAAATTAATAATCTTATCTATACCCTCGAGCATTTATGTCATTTATCAATAACTAAGTGCACTTTTACTAAGTACTATCTGTTGATAAAATGAAAAATAAATTCTTTTGAATAATAAATGTTTTAGAAAATCCTAGAATTCATGTTTTTCGCTTCTATGGACAAAACACACCCAAGTATAGACGGGCCGACATAAGTCAATTTTCATTTTCTTATTATAGATGTCCCCATCCCGATATTTTTAATCAAAAAAAGATTTTTGTAGTTTGATGTTTTTTCTTTTCAGGAATTCTCCATTTTTGGAAGCCCGCATTGGTTCAAACATGCACACAATATTATTACTATAAGCAGAACATTTCTTGATCTTCGACTGAGAAATATTTCGTTACGTGGCCTGAAGCAATTTTGATTAAAGATAGATTTGATTCTATTTAAATAGATAGAACTTTAACCTTCAAAATGGCTGATATTTTTCAGAATTTTAGCCAAAATAACGGGTAGAAGTGAGAAGAATTGCGGTAGATAGTTTATTGTGAACCAAAACCAAGTTTCCAGAAAACTTTTTTTTTAAATCTGACAGAAGGTCGAATGTAAGCTGAGGCTAGCTTACCTTAAATCTAACACCAAAGGAAGAGTAAAGCAGCTTTTTAAAGTATTGTAGTTTCACTGTTTGTACTATAGCTTTTAAGATTAGAGATGATCTTCCCAGAGAATAATTCAATCTGTAGAGGTATTGGTGTGTAGCGTTGTCGAGCACAGAGCACTCTGGCAAGCCGTGTCTCCAGATTACCTTCGCCTTAATTAAGACCTTCTTCTYCAGAGTTCCGTCCTTTTAAAAAGAAATATAAAATAATAAGCCATCAGGGCGACTGACCAAAAGCGCGGGCGCAAATTTGATTGGATTAGGAATGATTTACAGTGAAGTTCATCACCTTTTGACTTAAGATTATTAAATTTCTGTAAACATGGCTTACGCTAGATGTCATGTTAGTAATGATTTATTTTCTCAAAATGACAAATTGAACTTCAGTTTGGATAGCAAGTATCATATGAATATCATTATCTTTATCGCGGAAAGACATTTTGACGACAGAACTGTGAAAAGCAAACAAATTTGGACTCAATTTTTTTTTCGCTGGAATATTGCACCTTAGTTCTTGTGTGGTTTCCCAACTTAAAAAAAATTCATACTCAATATGAAGGACTTCAGCTTTCTGATTCTGTTTTCTGATATAAATTTTTAATGCTGAAATTTAGGAAAATGAATAGTCACACTCGTTCATTGTGAAACAAACTGAATCCATAAAATGGCAATCAAATCATAATCAAATTATAAAAAAATGCAATCAGATATATAAATTCATATGACTTGCGCAAGCACAGCAAAGTGAGGAGACTGGAAACTAGTACCAAATGACGTTACATTTGATCTTTGACGTCAAATTTGTTCTTTGATCACGTCATAACTGCTAATTTTGTAATTGCCTAATAATTGCTTTTAACGAGCTATAGATACAAGGCAATCTTTTTCAGAGAATTGCCATGTGGACGAATTTAAAGATAGTGATTTTCTTTGTACTGATTTACTTATGTTTTCTTGATTCAGTGAGAACATCAATTCAAGGTAAARGRKTYWWKAWTTTWWT